CAGACTTCCATGGGGATCTGTTTGTGTGTCACTGTGTGTAAATTTGATGGTCAGTCCCAGGATCTTTGCAGTACTGGCTTTCATGGCGTGTGCATGTACGTGCACATGTGTTCTGGACTTGGTGCATGTGGGAACGCCCACCCTGGCTCCTGCTTGTGGGCATCCATCCTCCTGCGACGTCCCCTGGCCTGCCCCCCAGAAACAGAAGGGGGAGCTGGGCAGGGCAATGCCCGGGTTCCCAGATGGGGGTCCGGGAGGGGGGTCCACACCATGCAGCCCGACTACCGGGTCCCAGAGTCCAAACTCCCGCTGGCTCATGCGGGTAAACCCCGTGGTGAAGATCTGTCCCTCGCGGGTAAAGATGGCGCGCATGGGCCGCATCCCTTCGTGGGCCGCCAACCTCTCCTGGCAGACGGGAAAGAGAGCGTTACGGGCCGGCCGGGGCGTAGAGAAGCTGGCTGGCCAGAGGGGTGAGGAAGAGGAAAGGCCAGGGGGACAGACCCCCCCTCAAGCCAAGGTTGGGCAACTATGGCAACTTTATGATTTGTGGACTTCAACTCCCAGAATTCCTGAGCCAGCCATGCTGAGGGGAAAGGGAGAGGTTTCCAAGCTGAGCCAGGCTGGCTCAGGAATTCTGGGAGTTGAAGTCCACAAGTCATGAAGGGGCCAAAGTTTCCCTCATGCTGGCTCAGGAATTCTGGGAGTTGAAGTCCACGAGTCATGAAGGGGCCAAAGTTTCCCCCACGCTGGCTCAGGAATTCTGGGAGTTGAGGTCCACGAGTCATGAGGGGGCCATAGTTCCCCAATGCTGGCTGGGGAATTCTGGGAGTTGAAGTCCACCTATCTTAAAGCATGTTGGCTAGGGGATTCTGGGAGTTGAATTGTATTTGCTAGCTCTGTTTTTACTGTAATGTAAGTGGCCCAGAGTTGCTTTGGACAACGAAACGGGCAGCACGTCAAATTTAAGAAGTACCACGAAGCCAAATAAAATAATAAAATATAAGGTGAAAAAAAAAGAATATATAATATAATATAAAATAAATAAGATATAAAAAATAACAATAAAATGAAACAAAATGAAACAGAGTCAATAAAACATATAACAGAAAATGAAAATAAATAAATAAAACATAAACGAAGTATAAACGAAATAATGCGATGAAATAGAAAACAAACTACACAATAAAATGAAATGAAACATCCAATAACCCAATAAATAAAACGCAACATAAAACCATAAAGCAAAATGTAAAACAGAACAAGAAATTAAATTATAAAATAAAATGTAATAAAATAAAATAAAAAACATGAACTAAAATCAAATAAAACATAATAAAAAAAACACAATCAGGTAAAAGGAGAGAAGCCCTGGCCATTTTTACAATTCTATTTTCTGTAGGTTGAGCAAATGGCTTGACCTCCCCCCACATACCTAGAATTTGGGGGGGGGTGTCACCCCAATAAGAAGAGACTGGACAGCCCTTTGTTTGAAATGGTATAGGGTTTCCTGCCTGAGCAGGGGGTTGGACTAGATGACCTCCGAGGTCCCTTCCAACTTTATTATTATTATTATTATTAACAACCTGCCTCCAGAAGTGGTGAATGCTCCAACACTGGAAGTTTTTAAGAAGAGACTGGACAGCCATTTGTCTGAAATGGGATAGGGTTTCCTGCCTGAGCAGGGGGTTGGACTAGATGACCTCCGAGGTCCCTTCCAACTTTATTATTATTATTATTATTATTAACAACCTGCCTCCAGAAGCAGTGAAGGCTCCAACACTGGAAGTTTTTAAGAAGAGACTGGACAGCCACTTGTCTGGAATGGTACTATAGGGTTTCCTGCCTGAGCAGGGGGTTGGACTAGAGGACCTCCAAGGTCCCTTCCAACAATTATTATTATTATTATTACTATTATTATAATCCTCCCTGGAGGCTGAAGCGTGTCCCCCTTTGCTTTCGCCCACCTTCCTGTTCCTCTTCTCTTCCTGTGGAGTCAAAGGTCAAGATATCCTCGCGTAGCCCCCCCATGCACCCCTTCTTCTCCACCCCTCCAGGACCCCAGGCAGGGGCTGCCCCAGTGGACGCCGTCCGTCCGTACCAAGTCCCAGAGTGCCAGCTGACGCTCGCTCATCTTGCTGAAGCCGGTGGTGAAGACGCGGCCATCGGCCAGAAAGATGGCCCGGACGGGGCGGGCCCCCTCATGGGGCTTGAGGGTCTCCTGGGGGCAACGGTTAGTGGGTTAGATCACACAAACACGGCAACCACAAAGCGTTCGTAGGGTGTTTCTCAACCTCGTCCACTTTAAGACGGGTGGACTTCAACTCCCAGAATTCCCCCTTGCTGGCTGGGGGATCCTGGGAGTTGAAGTCCACAGGTCTTAGAACAGGGGTCTTCCAACTTGGCCCTTTTAGGACTTGTGGACTTCAACTCCCAGAATTCCTCAGCCAGCGTGCCTAGCTGAGGAATTCTGGGAGTCGAAGTCCACAAGTCATAAAAGGGCCAAGTTGGAAGGCCCCTGCTTGTGGACTTCGACTCCCAGAATTCCTCAGCCAGGCACGCTGGCCGAGGAATTCTGGGAGTTGAAGTCCACAAGTCATAAAAGGGCCAACGTTGGACATCTCTAGTATAGCCCATGGGGCACTGCAACTCAGCCGAGGGGGAGAGGTGGTTAGGACGCCTGAGGTGAAGAGGAAGATTAGAGAGAGGTCAGACTAGATGTCCTCTGGGGAATCCCTCGGTTCCATTACTCGGGATAGCCCAAGGATGTGGCCCTTCGGGAGGGTTTGGGTTACAACTGGCATCATCATGGATGAATCCAGGGATTGGAATTGGGGGGAGGTGGGCTGGCGGGAGGGGGGTGTCAGCCTGGGTCCTCCCCCCAGCTGTGTGCACATGGGTCTTGGAGTGGCTGGGGGGGGGACGGGTCCTGACTCCTTTCTGAGCCTTTGCAGAAGAACGGCAGGAGATGGACACCAGCAACGGGGTTCTCCTGCCCTTTTAAGACCCTGGTTCCAGCATAGTCTACCTGTGTGGTAGACTAGGGAATTCTGGGAGTTGAAGTCCACCCATCTTAAAGTGGACGAGGTTGAGAAACACCGCAGATTAAACCATTTAGTAGAGGTCAGTCACCCCAAAGCACCCCAAAAGGAAGCGGAACCCCCCTTTAATGGGACGGACACCTACAGCCGCCTGCCAGGTGCTTCCCCAGTGGGATTGAAGCTCCTGTCCACCTCGGAGAAAAGGGAGCAGCCATGCAGATGGGGAAGATGGGAATTGTAGTCCAATTCATTTAGGTGAGATCAGGAGCCAGGGGTGAGCACAGCTTGATTTTATTCCTGAAAGTTAGGTTAATTCCTGTGCCGATTCGGACAGTGTCACCCAAATTTATTGTTGAATTTAGCACGTCTGGCAGGGAGGGTCACAGGCAGGAAGTCAAAAAAGGCAAGATGGCGGCTGCAACCAAGCTAGGGGACACCCCCCCCCCCCCGTTTTCTTTGAGGGAGTTCTGCTTGCACGGATAGTGTGTCGTTTGGGTCGCCATCTTGATTTTTCTCAACTCCGAGAGAAGTCTGGACTATCCATTTAATCCCATCGCCAGCAAACCAAGATCAAACTAGGATCAAACTAAGCCAGCACGGACACCAGGATCAGTAAAATGCAGAATTCTCCACCCAAGCTGGGAGAATGAGGTTAACTCAAGAGCTTGAGAGAGCGAGTAGACTTGAATTCCTATCATTACCCAGCAGTTGCAGCGCCTTTATTTCTAAATGTTATTTGGGAAATCAGACAGTTGGCTTGGAGTATCCATATAGAAGAAGCTGGGGGATTCTGGGAGTTGAAGTCCATCCTTCTTAAAGCATGCTGGTTGGGGGATTCTGGGAATAGAAGTCCATCCTTCTTAAAGCATGCTGGTTGGGGGATTCTGGGAGTTGAAGTCCACCCTTCTTAAAGCACACTGGTTGGGGGATTCTGGGAGTGGAAGTTCTCCCCTCTTAAAGCACGCTGCCTGGGGGATTCTGGGAGTTGAAGTCCACCCCTCTTAAAGCCTGTTGGCTGGGGGATTCTGGGAGTTGAAGTCCACCCCTCTTAAAGCATGCTGGCTGGGGAATTCTGGGAGTGGAAATCCACCCTTCGTAAAGCATGCAAGCTGGGGGATTCTGGGAGTTGAAGTCCACCCCTTTTAAGGTTGGAATCGCTGGTCTGAACCACCCAGAGAATGCCAAACGAAGGAATAAAAGCTCACATCTACCCCACATGCTGGGGGGCAGGTAAGGCAGTCCCCCCCCCACACCCCTCAGTCGGTCTGACTCACAGCCACAACCAGGTGCTGCCG